ATATATATATATTTCACTTGCCAGTTTGGACTGAAATTCTTCCTTCAGGGCATTTGATGCAATTGTAGCAACAAACTTGTTTCCCCTCCTGAGCAACCTTGCTGTACCCAAGGTGGCAGCTGTCAACACATCTGGCATGGGGACGTACCTAGAAATAACATTTAAAACATGCTTTAGTGGGATTTGCCAATAATTTCTTTAAATTCTTCACTTTATTTGGAGACAGAAATTAAGAAGTTTGTTGATTTACTAAATTCATGCAGTGTGCAAAATCTTTTGAGCTCAAGATGTCCCAAGATCAAAATTGTTGTTGGGCATGTTCCAGTTCTGCAGCAAACCATCCCGCATTGCAGGATGTGATCTTTGCATTTAAAATGTAGAAATCCACATTCACCTATAACTGGCACTCTAATTCTTTATGGCTATGTAATGTATCAGCTAAGTCATAAATAACTCAAACTTTAAAGACTTTTGTTTCAGGAAAATGATACAAGATCAGCATCTTTGTTAACAAGGTGGGATGCCTTGAAAGCACTTATTAGAGAGGGCTGCATAAGCCAGATGAGTAGTGTAAAAAGGAGATAGATAATCACGCATTATTAATTCACTATATTTGATTGTATGAATTTCCTAATGGAAGATAATGGAACTGGATAATCACATATTTATTGATAGAGAACAAAAGGAAAGGACTTGATACCTTACAGACAAATAAATCTCCACTCAAGTCATATTTTTAAGGCAGTATTATGAGTTTGATAACACACTCAAGAATTCTGGCACATCAGTTAAAGAGAAATAAAGAAAAGAGATTTATCAGAGCAATTAAGGATTCTAGATGCCAGGTTTTCAGTAAGACAGTAAATAATTAAAAATGCAAAGAAATGAACATAGGCTGGCAAATCCACCACTGGCTAAAATTAATCTATATTTCAATAGGTTATTTTTTTCAGAAATATCCCAGAAGATATCCAATGTATGAATGCTCCCTTCTCTAATTTTGAGACTATAGAGGCCTTTAAGAATATCAAAAATGGGAAATCACCAGACCCAGATGGACAGACAGGAGTATTTTACAAAGGATTCAAAGAAGGTCTCATATCAGAATTTCACTAAAATACCTAAAATCAAATTTAAATTGGGGACATTGCAGGAAAAAATAGTATTATTGATTAAAAAGAGAGGAAGAGGGGAAGGAGGAAAAAACTCTGCACAAAAATTTGTCTGCCTCTTGGAAAACAGAGAAACGTTTATATGGAAAAGAAGTAAACATGTTGAGAAATCCTGTTTTATTTATACTGAGCAAAACAGGATTTCTCAACATGCTTACTTATTCTTTGCATAAGAATAGAGAAATACCATCCTACTCGCATATGTTCCCTACATAATAGGCATTTATGATGAAGACCCATCAGATTATTAAACCTACAGTATTTGCTCCTTACATTTATTCTGTTCATATCTCATACTGACTGTTTAAAATTAGTAGCATGTGGAACAATTTAAAACCCTGAATATTAGTTAAGTGCATGTGTAGATCTAGCACATACCGAGAAAGGTAGTTTGGTGTAGTGGTTAAGGCAATAGGCTGGAAACTAATTTAAATATTTTCATAAAGAGAAAACCAAACATCCAGCAAAACCACAAGGCTCCAAGATTTCATCAATATACTTCACTTGTGGATTTTCAGGTCATCAAACTACAAGAACTTCCCGCTAGAATTGTAGACTCATTAATAAAAGTACTCCTGAATGTCCCACCTGCCGAAACTTGTGATTCCACACAATAGTACTTTCATTGATGGTGAACTTGTTCGCGTCGGGAGCTTTGGAGTCTATTCTTCCAATCCAAACTCTCCGGAAGGACAGATTGCGGAAAGTGACCATGTTGAAGATGTCGTATCCAAGGTCAAAGTCCCCCTTCTCATCAAAAAAGATTTCATCTCCTGCACTGTTATTAAAGCGGACGTTTCTCAGAAAGTAGTGAAGCTGGATTTGTGGGAAGGAAAAACGTAAGATCAGACAAAGAAAGCAAGAGATAATATTATCTCAGTGAAAAGTGGAGATCATTTTTGGACCAGCAAATTCTGCCACAGGTAAGATTGGCACTTTGACATAATTTTGGGATTGAACTAACATTTAGACGATATTTAAAAAGAGAAAATCCTTAGAATCTTGTTTTCTTTCTAGCTTTTCTTCAAGATCTTTCTAATAAGAATCAAGTCAAACCCAGGCTAAGACCTAAAAAAACCTGATAAATTCAGAACCCCAGTACTTATTAAGAGGATTGATCACATATACAGTGGTGTGTTTGTGGGGGGATAAATAAAAACACACACAAACCCACAAACACAATAAAAAAAAATTAT